CGGGTGCTCCGTACCCGGGGGACAAGACGCTTCCTTCCGGTAGAACTCGCACCAAGATTACTCGATATGCGCGAAACTCGCAAACACACGCGAGAGAAGCCAATCAATTGCATCTTCGCGCTCGCTCCCGCAAACGTGCAAGTTCCACTCGCACGCTCACCCAGATTTCAAGTAGTCACAAGTCAGTACAATCGCGCCGGGAAGATTCGAGAGCTCGCGGTGGAATGCAAGAGGAAACAGATTTTATTACAAAATGCGCAAATCTATTAATGTCTTCAAGAAATTACCAAAGTGCCAAATTTTGTAAAGGTAACGAGATGTACAAAATACTGTTTCACTCAATGATTGTTTTTAATATTATAAATAATGAAGAAGTCGAGAAAGAGGCGAAAGCCGGTTATTTACACCAGAATATATTACAATCTATATATTACAATTCTTCGTAACATCAAAATTGCAGATGTTTTTTATTTAGCCTCCTCGAAACCTGTTTCATCTTTTTTGTGTGGCTTTTATATTTTCTAATATTAGATAGCAAAAGAACATTTGTACTTTCATGATAATTGCACAATAAAGAAGCGAGCTATTCGGATGGCACATTGATACAATGGACTGTTATTGCAGCTTTATATCGAGAAGACATTTCCGTCCACTGTACATTACAGTTTTATATTGACGCGATCAATTTTGATTAATAATTGCGGTGCGATCGTAAAAATCCCCTAAAATGTGGCAACAGATTGCGTCTCGAATCGGCGGCTTCTATATTGGGAAACATGTGGTCGTCTCGCCGACTATCTCGTCACGTATGGCGATGATCGCCCTGTTACTGCCAATCTTCCCGTCACCATACATGACACTCATTTCGCTCATTAATCGCATGATCATTAATGATGATGCCGTGATATTACCGTCTATCATTACCTACACCTCGTAGCCTAACTGTAAAACCAATATAGAGTCGATTATTAAACATTAAGCACATAGTTGAACGTTTATTCCGATACGATATAAACGATAAAAATACCGGCAAAGCCTCCAAATTATTTAATCAATTAATGTTTAATTGTGCGCAAAAAATTATCATACCATTTCACACTTGTAATATTAATTTAAAATCCGGGCTTGCATAATTTTTCATTAAAAATCTAATTCAATATAAGCAGTGAAAGTGTAAAAGTACAGCGTCTCCTTTCAGAAACAAATGCGCGAAAACATAAATCGCTCTTGTTATTTTGTCAAGCTACGCTCAAGTAATATCCGAAGGGGAAATTCCATAAACTTGAAATCTCTTCCGTTCTCGCGATAGACATCAGCAAATTGAAAATACGTATTTCCCGCTCTCAACACTTCAGGACTGCATGGAAATGCAACGGCGGGAACGTAGGTGCTGCATTGTCACGGATGTGTGCGCCGAGTGCGTGAGTGACGCTTAAAATCACGGGATAGACGTAGTCGTTGTCGTTTATTCAGTCAGTTCGTTTCAACGCGCGACGTTCGACATCGTCGTCATTTGACAGACGCCGACCATTACTTTTGACACGTCCTATATGTGTACCGCCCGTCGCTACCTCCCTCCCTCCTTCTTCCACCCCTGTTAACTTTCTAAGGTTGCACCGCGTCATTTATTCCCGCTTTCACGAATCACCCCTGAAAAGTTCCATCGCCTTGCGTCTTCTAGCAAAGCACATCGAATCGCATCGCCGTCATTTTCGCCGTATTTATTTCGTTGAGCGATTGAACGCAAGCTTGATAAAAGTCGGTCCACTCTTGATATTGATAAATTGCGGTTGCAACCATTTGTCAACTCTTATGGTTATTTCTGGCATTACGAGCGCCCGCGATCTATCGGGCAATATTTTATACAAAGAATTCCGTTGAATAGAGTTTCCCGACATTTTGTGCTGCGTAAAACATAACTGTGCAAGATGTAAATCTGTCGTGTGAATCTGCACAAACGGGTAACACCGTAGTTTTGTTTCTGTATTTATAAAGTGTGATAATACTATTATTTCGCATTATTATTTCGAACCTATAATCTCGAACGAGAATCCGCTCTATTGTTGAGAATCGATATAGCGCAGCAGTGCATCTCAATGGGAAAGCAGAATAAATCTTCGATGAATAATGTTCGTTCGCGCGAAAAGTACTATTGAGAGGAATTTAATAACTCCGTCGTTGAAACGCAAGTAAGGAGAAGACGTAACCTGGCAGATGAGGAAATAAAGGTAAAAGGCGTGCAGATTTTTTTTTAATATACATTAATGTTCACGTTTCTGCGAGTTCTTAAACGAAAATTTCGCCGAGAATTTTAAAACCGTGTTAACGTCGAGAGCCTAAGTGATGTTTATCTCGAACAAGTAAAACGGGAGAAAAAGGCAATTAAAAAAGAACTTAATCTACACGTGCCACATCCATTTATTTTTAAAGCAAGGAAATCGATCGAGGAATCGTTGTAATTCATTTCACGGAAAGCACGGAGCAGATGATGAATTCTTTTACACATGTAAATACTCGGCGAATATCCAGCCGAGAGAAATGAGATTCGCGTTCGAGAATGTCAATTGGGCTTTTCAGCAACGGAGGAATTTTCTGTTTATTGTCGACGCGGAGAAATACGCGGCTTTTCGCGGCCGTGAAAAATCACCGCCGCCGCTGCTGCTTATGCCAATGTTTTCATTTAGCCCATCCCGTGTGCACAGCCATTAGCCTTCTCGTGGCATTTCTGCTCTCGCAAGTGCACTGTAATAGCCCGTTTTCACTTGTTCGGCTCCCGCACGGATTACGCGAGGGATAATCCGCATGAAAAGCCGCCGTCGCTGCAGCGATGCTCGACTTAATAGAAAACCGCACGACCTCGCGGTTAGATTGCGCGTGTATATGTATGAAAACGCGCGAGTTTCGTTGCACGACTCGCGCTGCACGCACTGCAATTTCACAATATCGAAGCGACGAGAATAAAAGCGGCGCCGGTATGATCGAACGGGGAAATAATAACGCGAGCAATCTTCTCTCGCTCGAATATGCGCGACGACTAAACGTGACGGCGGGCGACCGTCCCAAGAGGCGACGTTTTCCGCGCTTCGCGAAATGAAAATAATAACTCGTGACTCGTATAACAGGCGAATTGGCCGAGTGAAAACCGAATTGCGCACGTCACATGGCGAACAATTTTTCAGTCGCGCGGCGCGACGTGATTATTACGTTTATACGGGAAATATAACGTTTGGAAGAAAATGTTATTTACTAAGAAAATTGTGGAGTTCGCATCCAGTTAAGTGATCGAAACTGCGAGGCAAGTTAATCGTAGTTGGGGGTTCGTGAACTTTATAAGGTAAACTTTGCTAACTACGCAACATAAATTACATGGCATAAACGAAACGTTTTTCCATAGGTATTCGGGTATAGAGATGCATCTAATTGGCGAAAGAACATGCAACTGATAGCAACGAGTTTGCTGCGGGAGTTCCGCGCTAGTTTAAATTCAAGCAGTTGCAAATCCACGCGCAGAATTTTCGAGCTTAAAGTTGGAACGAGGCGAACAATGGCTTTCATTAAACTGCCGAAGTCGCGAACTCTTGCGCGGAACTCCGATGCCGTTGCGTTGGCGGCTATTAAAATGGTGCCGGATCATTATTCATTCTGCGCTAGATGAAGCCAAAAAATTAGCCGCTGATCTGAATTCATTTACGGATCGCGCGCGGATCGAGTTCGGCAAGTTTACTTGTGAGAATGGGTTGAGAGAAAACAGCCGCGGCCGCGGCCACTTTTGCAACTTTTGCACCTATACAAACTTTATCAGCTCGAAAATCGATATGGGCGAAAAGGCAAGTTTGTGGGTGCCATCCCGTGGCGCGATCCCAGGACGGCGATCCGTCTCGCAGGAAGCTCCGATGGCTCACGAATACGTCGTCGCTGGCGCCGGTCGCTATCTCCCTCCCTCCCTTCCCCCCCCCCATGTAGATCTCCTCTACATAGATAGTTTCACCCCGGAACTCGAAATAAATATCGCGCTATCGGTCTCCATTTCAACAAAGTTTCGGCGATCTCCGCACTCACACCGTCTCCCACGACGCGATCGGTGTTGGCGTCAGCCGGTACGGCGACTGCGCGGTCGCATGTGCTCCCGAAAAAGAAACGAATGGGTCGATCACGTTCGACACGCAAAGGAAACAAATTGAAGGGAAATAAATCAATCCTTGTTTCGCGCTGTGATTCACGACGGTGTGATTATATTATACATTAGAAAAATAATACGTATTAATTTTATAAATCGGAACGATATCTTTACGAACGCCCCGCGAGTCTGCTGGTTTTGACTATCAAATATAAATTGTAAAGTCTCTCTATTCAATGAATTATTTCCCTTTAAACTCGCTGTCACTATGCAGCCAGAAAAAAAAAACTAGAAAGAGTATGATGCGAGTGGCAAAAAAAAATGCGGAAAAAAGTATCAACGTCATCCCCGTGACAAACTTCCCGGTAACTTTGACGTATATCCTCGGAGCTATCTGCGAGCGGTCCGGGCGTCGCGTGGCCTCGCGCGACACTGAGAAACGGTATTTTTCAAAGGATGACGAATATACAAAATCATCCCGGTTGCCAGAAGCGACCAACGTATATATAGATGGTTCACCTAGCGTCCTCGTTCGGCGACGTTTCATCAGCCGGCGTCGCTAACCCAACCTCCCGACGGTGTCGGCCGTCATTTATTATTCGACATGAAAAGACGAGCTATTGAAACGCATTGAGATTTTTCGCGAGTCATTAGGAAGAGAAAGGAGACGGCGATTTCGGCCCCGAGAGCTGCGGAGGACGCGCCGCGTTTGAATAACGTCATCTCCGCCTCAAGGCTTGTCGCGGTCGTTAAAAAAGCCATTTTCATCTTTCTATCGGCTTCCATCAGATTTGAAAACGCAAAAAACTGCATTGTAAGAAATATAGTGAAAACAAGTTATTCTTATCTTCTTATGCGTGAAGAAATTAATTGGATAACTCACCGCGTAGCGAAAGTACTGGTCCTTCCTCACGATTCAGACCTGCAACCAAATAACAATAGTCAGTAATATAGAAAAAGTAATATAGAATATAGAATCAGTAAAATAGTAAAACAGGAATATAGAAAAAGATTGCAAAGAATTTCGCCATAAAAATGACAAAAAAAGGAGAGGAACGCGAAAGTAAAAGAACGTCTCAGGATCACCCGAATAATACACCAAATTTCTATAGCAGGTGTTGCCCGCGTAAAAGTGCCGAACTATGAGATTTTGATATGAAAGCAACATCTGTTTCGAAGTTGACCTTGGAAGAGTGCGGGCGATAATCTCTCGTCCATTTTCTCCTGTCAAAATCAATAATGGACGGAGAAGGGGATGAAATCCAGACTGAAAGAGGGAAGAAAGGCGATCGCGACCATCGATGCAACCACCTGCCGGCCTTTCCGCCGGTCTTCGGGATTTCAGTCCAGTAATTGCCGCGGCAATTACCACGAATTACGACGATAATTGACGTCATTAAACCGCGCAGTAATTTTGGTAATTACTGCAGTAAATCGCGAGCTATCCGATTGCAACCTGTCGCTTCCCTGATCTCTCGATCAGTAACGAGTAATTTTTAAGTTATTCCATCTCGATGACCGACAACTTCGAGAGGAATCGAGTTTCCGCCGAGTGGTAACACGAAGCCGAAGAAAATCCGCTCGAAATGCGGGTCAGCGGTCTCAACGCGACATTAAATTGCGAAATGGCGTGAAATCGGTGAAACGGCGTGCTTGAATATCACACTTCTAAAATGACACTCGGAGATATTATCTCTTGAAATTAAGAGTAGCAGTAAGTTATGTCGCAAAATAAGAGAAAAAAAGAGCGCTAATTAAGCGAATGACCTAGTGGTGCGTTTTTCTTTTGTACATTATTCGCGCGTAAAGAGCCAATTTCGCCGGATAAGTGGCATATACCGGTTCAAAATTAATTCAGAGAAACGAGATCTTTCGGAGTTATTAACCGCCCTGTTATTTTCACAATCAGTGGAAACTCGTTTTAATAATAAAACGGCGCTACTCATTTCGGCTTGATAATGAAATGAAAATATTATAGGTAAGAGCGCGCGCGCAAAGGAGCAAAAATCCTGAAACATTACCATCGCAAAAGTTATCGCGATTTAATTTACCATGTTTTTCCTTCCGAGTAGAATTGAAGTCATTACTGTTGCGTAAATGGTACTAATAACGTTTAATTAATGAACAAGAACAAAGTCTGAAGAATAAAAGTTAAAAGAATGAAAGGATTAATGTTTAAAAAAAAAATACAACACAATTTATATATATACGTATATATATTCTGATTTGCCAGTTTAAAGAGCAAATACAGCGAACGACGTTTAAGTGTGAGCAATAGCTTCTTTCTCTATACATAATATACACGACCAGAACGATCATTCCGCCTGCTCGTTTCACGGCTCCATTTCGATATTCGAGACACGAAGTTATTTAATGGGCTGCAAGAGCGACGGCTGCAGCTGCAAGAGGTATTACGATAGTTGCAACAGTAACGACAGAAACCATATAGCGCGGGTATTCGATCCAACTTTGCGCTTTGTCAGTTCGCGTCACCTTTCGTTCGTTTCGCGACTCATGGAACAGTGTTTCATCTCCCGCTCTGCGCTTTCATTCGAAAAATATCACAAAGATATTGATCGATATTCGGCATAAATATTTCATTAATGCATTCCGATTCCATTCACATCCCAGCAGTATTATTTCTAATATCTAGAAAACGTACATCAAATGAGCATCGCGAATAAACTATTTCGAGCGCAATACAATGGACGACATTTTTGGCGTTGCCGCTGATCGGAACGTCATTGTTGAATTCAGTGTGACGATCGCTTAACCGGAATGTTTGCCCGGACGCAGTCGAGCGGTGCAACCGACCGGTGCAGCCGGTGCGTTTGAAATGATTACCGGTGCGTTACGTCACCGTGTTGAATGGCACGAATTGTTAGCGGCTATTTGCGAATTTATGAACCACTCTGCCAGTGACGATTTGCGTACGCCAGACATCCTATTCACCTCGCACCTTCGCGAAAGTTAATATTCGAAAAATGCATAATAGACGGCGCGATATCTATCAAATTGAAAAATTTTAATTCGACAAATATTTCATATGAAAGAGTAATAACCGGCTATCAAGCTTCGTAAATAATCGATGGACAGTTGAACCTTCGTCGCAGATATATTCCTCTCGCGCCCAAACTCATTCGACGCTTTCGTTTTCATAAAAATTTCCATCCTTGATCTTCGAGCGACGCTAGTTAAAAACCAATTCCGACGTTACGCGCTGAAAGAAATATTCAAATTACGACTTTTCGAGAAGTTGGCCGCGGTGTACCTTGGGAGTTAACCGCGCGATATTTTTACCTTCGACACGTTCCGTTCATCCTCCCATCGTCTCCTTACTTAAGGGAAAGGATGGGATCGTATCCAGCGACTCGCATGAGCGGACTGGCAAAAGGCCGCTCGTGGAAATACCGAAAGTTATGAAAGTTTTATGACAGGCTGTGAGAGAACGCCGGAAGATGCGGAGCAGAGGAGAGGAAAATTTTCCGTCGAGAGGAAGGCGTGGTGCTTGTGGTCTGCGAACATTTATGGCAAGCCAATTTTTTTTCGTTTGATTATTCAACGTACGCGAATGCACCTCGGGCCTCTCTGTGATTGCATCTGACGGTCGGCCGCGGTCTGAAATTTTTCGAAACAAACAAAAAAAAAAAAAAGAGCAACAGAACAAAGCGCGGCAGAATACGAAAACCTGGTGACCGCGGTCTGAAAAATATAATACCATTTCCGAAAGCCACAATTTTTATCGCTGGAGGTAGTATCGATGCTTTGATCTGTTGGTTGCGCGAATCTGTCCGTGCTTTCAGGTACGCAAACCATTCGCAATTTGTTATCGCGTTTCGCGAAATAGATCGTCTCGAGGAGATCGCCGTGAGAGGCGCGAGGGGACAAGTCGTTCGAGAATAAGGCGGGCGCGGACGATAAATCAGGACTCGCACGATAATGAAATTCAATGCTTCGCGCCCGGGTGTGTGTCAGACGAGTTTTATCAAAAGCGCCTATTTATCTTTCTTACAAAACAGTTTGAGAACAGTTCGCTCATAAACGGCATCGGAGAGTCACCCGATTCTCGTCCTCGAGTCACCCGACTAACACCACCCCTACTGCGAGGCGAAACTGGGTCACCGAGATTGATGGTTTTTCTTTCATCCTTGAAGTTCTCCAAAAATAGCGGCGACATTCATAAATTTCGTAAACATTCTCAGGTGAAGATGTCCCTCACGCCGCGCGAGGCTGTGTGTAATAATCGAAATAATCGTTTATTTTCGAATGTTGAAAACTTTTGTTGGGTTTCACTTGAAATTTACGATTAAATTATCGCGATGAAAACAAATACCCTACGATATTATGAAATTTGAGAATCTAAAAACTTGTTTAATTTGTGCTTTAAATTTTATTCATTTCCAGTTGAACGTTATTAAACATTATTATTCGATAAACAAATTAGAAAGATGCATGGATTCCTAATTTTTGTACTGTGTTTCAGCGATCCTTTTCCAAATTACACGATAGTTTCCGTAATCAATTGCAAGCGAAATCAACATGGAGCATATTTCATAAAACAAATCTGCGAAATGGAAAACTATTAAGCATATCATTCTATTTCGAGTGATAAAGAGAAAAGTTAAAGCTCAAGTGCTGCAAAAGCAATTTGATTTGCAACAGAGCCATGATTCTACTCTTTCATCAAAGTTCTTTGCGCTCATTATTGTGTCTCTCTCGTCTCCATAATTTCCTATCGACTTTCTTTTTCCGGTCATCGTCATTCCTCGCTTTCGCTGAGATACGACGTGAACTAACGAAATTGAGGCTTCCGAAAAGTAGAGAGGTAATGGGAGGATGAGCGAACGTATCACAGAAAACCAAGCGACGACACGAAGCGATGAACGGTGGGTCTCGATATCGCGCGAGTTGTACCGTTTCAATTTTCAGCAGAAAGCACACACGTCGCATGATTGCACACTAAATCCACGTAATCACAGACGCCCCTTCTAAAAAATAAACGAGATGCGCGCGGTCAAAGGACGCCAGCTAAAAACAGACCCAATTACGTTATAAATAGATTTTAGATGCCGAGATCTAAAATTGTGTGTGTAATCCCTCTGTCGTCTCTCCCGTTCTCGTTTGCCCGTTGCAAATTTTAGCGAATTCCGTACGAAAGGTCGCGATGGCAACCGATCTCTGCCTAGTCCGATCGACAATCCCCCCCCCCCCCACGGGATTAGTCTTCAAAGGATTGCAAATGCACAAATTAGCGGCGGCAGATCGGCCGCGCAGGTGTCCATCGGAATATACGTGCATTTGTAGTTTCCAGAATGCCAGTCGCAATACTCCCATTGCGAAGCAGCGCAATCCCTTCCTCCCCCTCCCTTTAGAACAGGGTTTGGTACTACGTATGCATCGTATTTAATCCACGTTTCACGCCTCGACGGCCTGTAGCGTGATTCAATTACGTCGCCGGGGATGGAAGTTAGCGGGACGAAGGGAGGGAGAGTCTGTCGGAGTCGCTGCCGAGTTCTGTACATACCGAGGATGACGCCACCCCCTCGTTTACCTTTCCTGTCCCATGCTTCGTGCATCTACGGACTTCAGAACGAGAGAATGTTTCCGCGTGCGAGTAAATTAAGGTTCGTTTACACTACGTCGCAACCTTAACGATAACGATAACATACTGTGGCAGTATGACAGTTCTGAATTAATATAGAAGAATCCGTTTTGATTAATTACGCTCATTATAAAATATGATTGTACGTTGAAAACTCGCGAACGCATCGATTTATGTTTGTTGATGCATACGCAAAACTTGATATTACAGTAATTCCTAGTTTGTAACCTTGTTTGTAACAAAAAAATTTAAAAAACATAATTATGGAAATATTCATAAAATGTTTGTTGACAAATAGTTTTCAATTTCACATCGTTTTC